AGCATGGGCAGCAGCTGCAGTGTTGGTTTAACGTTGCATTGTATCCACAGTCTGATACAGACGATGTGTTTCTTTGATAGAAGTGCTTCAATTTTGGAAACTACTTTGTCTCGTTCAAAACCTTTGCTTGTGTGACCTTATCATTTGTTATCATTTGTTTTCACCGCCAAAAAATAAACCGCCAACAATAGCTTACTGATAATGGTAAAAGTCCTTACCATCATTCTAATGGAAATCCCCATCAGTGGTGGTAAATTATGAAATGTGTAATTTCTTAACCTCATTACCAATGGGGGTAAAATAATAAATGCATTTATTGTCGTTTAACGGGTCAATGATGAAGAAGGTCATTTGGGAGTTATTCAGGTGGCGCTGTTTCCATACTGTGAACACATCACGTGAGAAAATAAAACGGCAATTGGAGGTCGATCAGCACCTTATTCCTTATGTAGTTCTTACTTATATACAGTTGAGCTGATAAAAAAATTGCGTTTTATTTTTGGTGAAGCCCCATTCTTTCTGAGCTCAACTGTATATATAAGTAAGAACTGTACCAGGATTGGATTTGGAATTTTCCTATGTTGGAGCTCTTACTCTCATGGCTGGTGATGGAGCAAAGGCTTCTTTTTTGTGTGTGATACTGTACTGTCTGTATGCAGACAGAACACATGGTCTCCTTGCAAATTATAAATAAAATGATTTTAATATTTGAAAATGAATGAATGTTTTTTTGTCATTGAGAGTTATCAGAATATTATATATATGACAGGAAAATAATACTGATTTTAATGTGTTTTTATAGATTTCTTCAAAAGGAAATTTTCCCCACAACAATATGACCCAAACGACGAACGACCCAGCATCTGCCCAAAGATCCTTCGCGTATACGGGAAGAGCTTGGTGAACCGTGACTTTCCTATTCCCAAAGAACCGGATATGCCGCGAGCAAAGGATGCCGTTTCTACTGAAAGACACAAGGATATCGCCCTTCACCATTTAATTCGTTCCAAGGGGACCAAAATATCTAAAGACATTTTAGAACTGGATGCCAAATTTAAATCTTATTTCGAAAACCCCGTTAAGAATGACGTTTCTCTTGCAATAATAAACCGCTACAAACGGCTTGTGGCGAAAGCGGAAGAGGATGAAATAAAGCAGCATGATGTCATCTTGTGCACGTGCACCACGGCCGGAAGTAATGCCGTTCTAAGATCAGGGATTATAGAGCAAAGCATTGTGGATGAAAGCGGCATGTGTGTCGAGCCTGATTGTCTTGTACCCATCGTGCACTCAAAAGCTAAGCAAATCGTGCTCATTGGAGACCACAAGCAACTAAGACCGATAGTACTGAATCAGCTTGCGCGGGACATGGGGTTGGAAAGGTCTTTGTTTGAGAGATACGCTAAGCAGTTTCCTGAGCAAACAATCATGCTGAACATGCAGTACAGAATGGTACGTACGAAAATGTCGTGTCGATTTTTTTTTCAGGCCATCGTTTCAAAAATTATGCACCGTGATAATTTTTGCAGGGTTTATTCCTTAAATCGCCCAACATTAAGATGCAAATGTATACTTATGGTGTTCTCGTTTTTCATTAATTAATTAATTAATTTATTTATTCATTTATTTATGTATTTATATATTTATTTCTATGTCTTCTGGTTGACTGCTGACTATCCGTAGACTCAAAAATTTAATGTAGTCATAACATTTGCAACGGTATATACCTGAGTTATTGTCGTATATGTTTATTTATTTAGCATCCAGATATATGCGACTTTCCGTCGAGTGAATTTTACGGTGGCCAACTGTATAGTCAACCTGGTCTGAGGTTTTCCAGTGACCCGATGTTCAGGGATTTCACCCCAGCAGCCGAAGTCCTTTGGCCAAGAATAAGACAAGATCGAAGACAAAGAAGGCGGGTAGAAGACAAACGCTTCGTGATGTGTCACGTAGAGGGCGAGGAGGAGAGTCTGGTTATTTCGACAGCAGAGGGCGGAGAAATGTCCAAGAAAAACCAGGCTGAGATACAGGAAGTGGTAAGTTTTTTCTGTTCTTATTAAGGCCATTTCATTATACAGTATGTCTGATTCATATTATTATATATTTGTCACCAAAAGTATAATTCTCCATTCAAAATTAATTTCTTGAAAACAAATTTTTTTGAGAAAGGCAATACAATATATGCCATTTTCAATAACTTCGACATAGGCCTTGGTTTTCTTTTTTCTTTAACTTTGCTTTCCATTTGCTGTCTCAATATTTCTACTCAACTCGCTGTGCAAGTATCCTGGTGCATCTCGCCCCAGTAACCTCACAAAAATAAAGTACACTGTAATCATCCCTTGGTGTTGTTGTGAGTGGGGCAGCAGGGAGATTGGAATAACCCCATTTGATGTGGTAATCGTAACCAGTCGGGTCGTTGACATTAACTGCACTGTATGATATTGGCCCATCTTGGCTGAAGACATGTATTTAAATGCTTTCAACGTTTAAATATATCTCTTTCTGTACCTTAAAAAGAAACGCATCTACAACATCTTGGTGAGCAAGACATCCCTGAAGTTACCCAAAGCGAACATAATGGTACTGTCTCAATACAGGGCGCAAGTCAACGAGATCGAGAAGGCGCTAAAAGGACATGGCGAGGGTGTTCAAGTCAGCACGGTGGTGGCTAGTCAGGGTAAGACCAGGCTCTGGTGTCATACACACACACACACACACACACACACACACAATAAATATAATTCTTCATTACCAACATAACATTGTCACTTACATACCTCTTTCCTTAGTAACACAGGTTGCAATATTGCTGCAAATCCTTGCAAAATTGCAGTAACTGTGCTGCAATATGGCTGTAAATTTGCAGCATTGTATTTTTATTGCAAACGCCTGCAAAGTTGTTGATGCAATTTTTAGTATTGGGGCTAGCTCATGAGGCTGACTCATAAAAAGTAATTG